ACAGAGCAAATGGGGGACGGAATCATCTTTCTCTCAGCTAAGTCCAACTATGCATTCTGTGAAAATATGCCTGAGACCCTCCCTGCACTCGGGATTCGTCGAAAAAATGACAGTAAGCTCAGAAATTCGGCCGTCCTCTTGCTTCGTGCATGATGGATACGATCCCGACAGTCATGCAAGTTTTGATATATTTCTTCCGGACAGTCTCGTTCGCTTCTGTCTCCCAGCTATGCACAAATTGAGGTAGGTGCCATCGGCATCCAAATATCCCTGGCTCACTGCCCGCACTGCGCTGCCGTACTGATAGGTGGCTGCTATGCTAGTAGTCCTCATTTCGCAGATTCTCAATGAGTGAAATGAAGGAAAGGAAGGGGACAAAAGAGAAAACTTTGTGGTGCAAGGCAGCCGGATACGCTTTTTCTATGCGTTTTACTGCTGTGAATGTGTGGGCTTACGTTGGGAGCGAATGAGCTGAAGGTGGGGCCCGAACCGAAGGCCTTGCGTGAATACGGCATACTTGGTTCCTGCAGCGGGAACCCACATCATCTCGCGTGAAGCAATTGAACAGTCAATGTCGGGGAGAGAACGCACGGGCACGGGTGTCTTAAAGGCATCCAGTAGCTGCTTAGTGGTAAACAGTAATCAGGGTGGGGTCGTATGGACCTTTCACTTGGAAAGACATAAGCTGAAGCCCGAAGCAAGAGGCGGCTATGGATGCCGCGCGGCCTGCGCAAGAAACGGCATGCACAGGCACCCAAAGCTCACAACCCCTCATAGAGAGAAACAGCGAGCTGTGGGGGCGCACTTCAGTGTTCGAACAGGAGTTGCCTTCGTTCCCCAGGAGCTTGCTCCTTGTCTCAGGAGTTCGCTAGCAAAAAAAAGAAAAGCATAAAATACTAATATAGATGCCGCTGTTGCTGCCCCTCAATGCTTCGAACACAGTTATGCCTGCCTCTTGGTACCCAAGCTACAGCTGGAAGAAGCAAACAACCCCACCCCGTCTGGTGTAAAGCCACATTAATAGGCATGTACAGACGCTCGCTTGNGGAAGAAGCAAACAACCCCACCCCGTCTGGTGTAAAGCCACATTAATAGGCATGTACAGACGCTCGCTTGGAGTGCTGTGAAGGTTATTAAAACGTCGCATATGCAACACACAACAGGCAATATATTCGCCAGCATAAAATAAAAGTATAAGAATGAATATTTCATTTTGGATGACTTCACGCTGCTAGCCAACCGCCAGAGTTGAGCACGGAAACCTATTCATGGAACACAACACATCCGAGCAGAAAATCACCAACCAATCACAAATTCACGCTGACAGAGTCAAGAGGCAGCAAATGAGGGACAGAGACAAGGAGCATGCTTCTGGGTAACGAAAGCAGTTCCTGTTCGAGCACTCAAATGCGGATCAGCCAACAGGATGGATGGCTTCCTTACCGAGCACCAACGTCGTGAGGTTCCGCTTTCGAAGCTGCATAGGGAGGGCCATCCAGCAGCGCCTCAAGTCTTCTACACGCACTGGAGTCGGCCCAGCAAGCAGAAGAGCCGTTATAGTGCGCGTTGCATACAATTCCACGTCCTGCAAAAAGATAGTACCCCTGTCTTTGTACAACAGTGAAGCCCCTTACCTTAAGTTCGCCCCATGGAGCACTGCCCGGTTAACTGATGCTGCTGAAGGTATTGGACGGGAGTAGCTGTTGCTGCTGCTGGTGAGGCACAGACGGGCACTGTGTCTACCATCACGGCCAGCCTAAACACGCCGTGCTGCAGGTTCACTGACCTGTTCCGGAACCGAAGTGTCCTGCGAGGCTTCGATGTTGCCTGCNCACGCCGTGCTGCAGGTTCACTGACCTGTTCCGGAACCGAAGTGTCCTGCGAGGCTTCGATGTTGCCTGCTGCAGTGGTGGCATGCTGCTGTTGGGCGCAAGCAGGCGTGAAAGCCTCATAGGCAGCAAAGGGTCCGGGATTGTTCGAAGGAGCGCTGAGACGGCTCTCTGCGCGCTCTTCTGAATCCTCGTTCGAGCCACTCGTCCGCTGGCTGTTTACATCATGGCCTTCTGCCGCACCTGCAGGGACTGAACTTGCACCTATCACACTCTGTAGTGGACTTGATGACAGGCGAGAGGCTGTTTCGGCTTCGTGCTCAAGGATAACTTGCATACAAAGCTCCGATATATCGTCCACTTGCTGCGGTGTGAGGGGCACCGGGGCATTTTCGCTCAGTTGCTGCTGTTGCTGCTGCTTCTCGCTTAGTTGAGTCGATGAGCCTAGAGAGTTCTGCGGTGGGTCTGTCGAACCACGTAAGATTGCCGGCGCTTCCTCTCCGCATTCGGACGGGTCCGAATCGCAGGTTTTACACTGAACAGTGCCGCTGTCAGGGGCCCCCAGTCCCGNCCGCATTCGGACGGGTCCGAATCGCAGGTTTTACACTGAACAGTGCCGCTGTCAGGGGCCCCCAGTCCCGTCGAGTTGGAGGGCAACGCCTCCGGATTCTGCCTTGCTCGCCCCTTCATCAACGCACCTAACCCTCTCTCACCCCTTCTTGCTGCTTAAACTGTAGGTGGCAGGCCAAGGAAGGTGGGGGGGGGGCGGGGGGAGCAGCTGGTGACCAACATTCGATGACGTTCTACTTAACGCCGGGTTGCAGAGATGTCTCAGCTTACAGCTTTTAATGTTACTACCAATAAACAAAGGTAAAGATGCTGGTTTCCGCAGGGAGATTGGAACCCAGTTCCATAGGTTGTGCCCCAGGATCGACGGTTCCGCTGTCTGCCCGGTGTAAGCCGACAGCAACGCAAACAAGAAAGCTATTAATTGCCCAGATACGTGAAAATGTAGATATCGCAAAGTACAAAAATTGGAGCAATTATAGCTCTGGGCAGGAAGAGTGTGTAAAAGTCAACAAACACGAAAGTGTGCAGGCACAAAAAGGAAAGCCGACTACGGGGCTCGAACCCGCGACCACCAGCTTAAAAGGCTGGCGCTCTACCGACTGAGCTAAATCGGCGATGCTGCGTAGCGGATTACTTGCATTAACCAGAATTATTATCGTATTTGAAAATGAATAGCCTGACTAACATTCTTGCATGTTGTCAAGAATACTGAGCGCAGGATACTTCAAGCGCCTTTGAGTAGTCGATGTGCGTTCTGCGGGGGAGTCATGGTGTTGGCAACAACCCAGTTGTCATATGTGGTTGTTGAATCATGTCGNGTGCGTTCTGCGGGGGAGTCATGGTGTTGGCAACAACCCAGTTGTCATATGTGGTTGTTGAATCATGTCGTATTGGAGAAAGCTCACTTTTGAGCTGAATAACTCAACTGATGAACCAGAAAGAAGACTCCCCGTTCAAAGGGCTCATCCCAGGGCCCTTGCTCCTTTTGTCTCACCCAGCGGTCCGAAGCCCGTTTCCAACATATGCGCGTACAACAGCAAGGCTGCTGACGTATGCAGTCCCACGGGTACTGTTTCACAGCAGCAGCAGTGCACGCTGCTGTGAAACCGTGCTCTGGTATCGGAGACGGCTGTCTATGTCGCGTCCGTCAGGTTGCGCTCTGCAGATGACCGCCAATAACTTCTGAGCTTGCTTACTGGTATGGTGGTTCCAGTGAAACCATCGATAGGGCGCCTCCCCTTATGCGTTCAGGAACTCTACACGCTGCTGCAGGCTAGGGGTTCACCTGTTCGATGCAATGTGTTGCACAGATAACCGCACCTGTGACTGTCCTCACGAACTGCCTTTGCAACAGCAATTTGCTCAGAAGACCCAACAGCCCTGAGCACGAAACTTCGTGCTCAAACTAAATGCTGTCTCGTGTCTACCACTACGAGAGAAAGCTGGGCTGCTCTCGCTGGGGTAGACCGGTTACTGATTGGCCTGAAGTCTCAATACTTCCAGCATTTCATTGAATAAAAAATGAAAGTGGATGGTCCGTACAAAAGCGACTGACCGCACAACAGTCTCAGCCCAGTCCACGCCATTCGATGTCCCTATTTGTATTTATTGCTCCCCCTAGCCCCGCAAAAGCCAGTAAGGCTTGTTCTTAAGGGTTCAGTTGCAAAACGTTCGCGGCTGACGGGGAGGTCCGCGGGCGATTGTCAAATGCGGGGGGATCCTGAGTTCTAAGTGTGGGGCTCAACGTAAGGCTGTGGAAGTCCCCGGAATGTGTAGAACTGGTACCAAATGCCCTTTGCCTCCCGGGTGCGGTGTCAAGCGGAGTGTGGGGGCCCTGGGGGGTGGCTGCTGCCCCTAGATCATGAAGGGGCGTTTGTCCTAGGGGAGCATTGGGCCCGGGTGGCTGGGGCCCTGTGGGTGTCGCGTTACCTGAGGGGGAAACAAGGGGCTGGCCCTGTCCTTGGGCAGGCGCGGAGAGGTATTTGTCCTCTGGGAAGGCGAGTTTGAATTCCTCTAGCATTCTGTAGTTCTCGAGGGCCTCTTTGCACCTCAATGCCTTTCGCGGATGTGTACGGAGACCAGCCAACAAGTCCTCCGCGAGAAGTTGCGGCTGCCGCAGACGCGACA